TACTCGTAGTTCGGTGTGTACTGTTAATCTGCGTCCTATTCTCTGTGTGTGTTGCCGGTTCGTGTTTAATATCTGCCCTGTGGTCAATGCACATGTTAGGAGATTGGACTGTCTCTGCAGCCGGTTTAGTCTGCGCTGCACTCTTAAGGCAATCGGCTGCTACAATCAACGACAAGTTTAATAACTCGTCTGTATTGGTCCTGCCGGCCTGCCTCTGCTCAGACGTGTAGCACGTGTCGAGAGCGTGGCACAATTCTCTCATCCTCGCTCCGGCTGGGTGTGACTGGAACTTGTCCTGTATACTCTCTGGAAGAGTATACGGGAGCAGAGACTGTGAGCGGGGAATTATCTCTGTACTGTACCCCGGCTCAGTCCATCTGAACGCTGACGGCGGGTTCTTCTCTGGCTCTCTGGCCTCTCTGGGCTGATCGGGTGCAAGCTCAGGTTGCGCAGCTGAAGACGGCGCGTGAAACTGTGAATCTGAACGCGCTGTCGCGTATGAGCTGCGGGAGGGAGAATCTGTCTGTCTGACAAGGTGTGGTAGAGGTGAAGGATCCACTGTGGAGAAAGGGATTTTATGTGTTGTCATGTATTCGGCTAATGTTTTCACGAAGTGGCCTTTCTTCTTAGACTGGGCAATGTTTTGATCAAGACGCTTGCTGACTGCGAGCAGTTGAGCTTTTGTTAGAAAGCTCAGCTGGTCTGTCAAAGATTCTGGCTCGGATGCCATGGATCTACTGGAGCGATACTCTTAATGTTTGGGAAAGGAATCTACATTTCTCTCTTCCTTATGTTCGGTAATGTGGGAAAAGAACCATTTAGCTGGCGCCAGGCTAATGTAAGCTGCTCGTCCTCTAACATATACAGCACTTACACTGTGATACGCACAAAACGATATTGGGTGTGCCACGTGAGAAAGAAATAATATTTATGTAATTTACAAAAGAAATAATATTTATCATGCAAACCTATGTAATGTGTGTTTCGTTAATATCAATGACATGAGAAAGTTAAAACAATAATGAAGTTAGTAAGTGCAAAACGACAAGATCATCGGCTTCGATAACTTTAGCCGGCTTAGGTGGAAATATAAGTAATCAAATCCGACAAAATTGTAATTGTGTTTTCACCAACTGCCATATGGTAGTAACTTACCCATTGACACTCGCGGTATGCGGTAATCTTTAAGGAAAGCCGGTATTTCCGGTCCCTTATGAATGGCAAGGAAGACTTTCTGGTGGTGGGTGGCAGCGCGCGATGTGCAGGTGAGGCGCTTGCATTCCTTGGAAAGCCGTCCAGGTAATGTGGGGCGTGTGATTTTGGCAAGAGAGTCGGCGCCGGATAGAATTAAACTGGTCCGAAGTCCAGGAGCGCCATGCAACAGCAGCCGGTTAAGCTGCTGTTCTAGTGGGATGGTTTATCCACCGTACCACGATGTAGCGGCTGTTAAGGCTAACTAATAATCAACGCAGGACATGGCAGTTATGGCAAGATTCTTATTAGCAAGTAAACTGGGCAAGAAGGCAAAAAGCAAGGTTAGCTAGCTGGGTCTGATGTCATAATGAGGTCTCAACAATCATAATGAGGTCTGATGTTTTATGGATTACATTACGTGTAAGTTTCATCTTTGCAACACTGCTCGAGACGCCGCGACATGTCCTGTCGAGTGTCGACTGCAGTCGTACAGTATTTTAATTTGTCTCTTTATGCCATCATCGAGAAACAACATGATAAACAAGTAGTGCAGTAATTTGATGTTGTACTGCATAATACGGTGCACGCTGCTATTCTGGAAGGGCTCGCTCGGGCCACAGTCACAGGAACATGAATCTATATACCACGGCTGGCTTGTGGACCATTTGTACCACTCGATATCATTTTTCCGCGTTCCAGTTAGCGGCCTACCTGACAATTCTCGACAGAGTCTAAGCAGTGACCTTGCCAGCTGATTGCTGCTACACACATCCATGACCGCCATGCTCTCCATGCAGCGACTGCTGGTGGCCGTGCTCCTGAGCGTGATCGGCCGTCGTACAGCCGTCCAGGGCCTGCAGTGTATGGTGGGCGTGTAGGACTGCCATTGCGGACTGGCCTGTGTGCTCGGCAGTCTGGCCCAGGCCCAGATCGACGACCTGATACAAATGAAGAAGAGCCGCACGTGCCAGACGGCCCAGCCACTGCTCGTCACGGCGTCCCAGCAGCGGGCGTGTCCGGGCGGCGCGGATGTGTGCATGTACTGGGCCGACGTCTACGTGGCGACCGGCCTCAACGACACGGTGGTGGGGCGTGCCCGCTTCGGTAAATGTTATCGCCCGGGCACCAGCTCCCCGGCCAATCAGTCCACCTACTATCCGGTCTTCCCGCACCCGGACGACGTCCGCATGCTGGACCTACAGAAGTGGCTCAATCTGTACCAAACTTGCGATATGCCGTCACTGTCGCGTCGCGGACCAAACTTGGCAGCCATCGCAATAACGAAAAAGTCCGCGACAGCGCCGCGACACGGCATATAGCCGCGACAGCACCGCGACAGTACTTCTGCTGCGGCCAGGCTGTATTGCCGCGACGCCCCGACAGCCGCGACACGGTATATAGCCGCGACAGCACCGCGACAGTACTTCTGCTGCGATCAAGCTGTATTGCCGCGACAGCCGCGACACGGTATATAGCCGCGACAGCACCGCGAGAGTGCTTGTGCTGTGGCCAGGCTGTATTGCCGCGACGCCGCGACAGCCGCGACACGGTATATAGCCACAGCACCGCACCGCGACAGTACTTCTGCTGCGATCAGGCTGTATTGCCGCGACGCCGCGACACGGTATATAGCCGCGACAGCACCGCGACAGTACTTCTGCTGCGATCAGGCTGTATTGCCGCGACAGCCGCGACACGGTATATAGCCGCGACAGCACCGCGAGAGTGCTTGTGCTGTGGCCAGGCTGTATTGCCGCGACGCCGCGACAGCCGCGACACGGTATATAGCCACAGCACCGCACCGCGACAGTACTTCTGCTGCGGCCAGGCTGTATTGCCGCGACGCCGCGACACGGTATATAGCCGCGACAGCACCGCGACAGTACTTCTGCTGCGATCAGGCTGTATTGCCGCGACAGCCGCGACACGGTATATAGCCGCGACAGCACCGCGAGAGTGCTTGTGCTGTGGCCAGGCTGTATTGCCCGACGCCGCGACAGCCGCGACACGGTATATAGCCGCGACAGCACCGCGACAGTACTTCTGCTGCGATCAGGCTGTATTGCCGCGACAGCCGCGACACGGTATATAGCCGCGACAGCACCGCGAAAGTGCTTGTGCTGTGGCCAGGCTGTCTTGCCGCGACGCCGCGACAGCCGCGACACGGTATATAGCCGCGACAGCACCGCGACAGTACTTCTGCTGCGGCCAGGCCGTATTGCCGCGACGTCGCAGCACTTCACTTAACCTCGGCGTTTGTTTATGTTTTTAAAATCATATAAATGTCTCCAAAAACCGTTTTGCATGAGATCGCGTAAAAATGATTTTTGTCTGAAAATACGCATATGAGCATTATATGCTACATTGCACAAAGAAGATGTGGTGCAAAAGGGATGATTTTTTAAAAAGTTTTATAACTCGTACTTTGTAAAGGTCAGCCAGCCAACATTTGCTGTTGGTAGTCTATCAAAGGAATGGCGCTACTACCAGCAGTCAATATGATGTTTCGCCTGTATGCTATTATACCGAATTCAAGGTTTACAAGTTTTTCACCTTTCCAAGGTTTGTTAAGCCCTACTGCAAGAGTGCCGCAAGCGCAATCTGCTTTTCGAGGGAAGCAGTATCCAATATCCATGCTGTAGGTCACGGGGCAAAACCTGGCGGTAGCACCTGGCAAATGCAGAGCATTTGATAGATATCACAGCCACACAGTGTGTAGCTAAATGGATAAGCCTTCGGGCTTTGAAAGATAGGCTGCATCGAACGCGGTTTAGGCTTATTTAAATGGGTGACCAGTGACAACTGAGTTCAGGCTACGAGTGCAACGGCCTGTCAGGCCGGTGTGCGAAGTGTTTAATCAGCGCCAGCGCTGACCGTACGAAGAGTCCTGTGCGTTTCTTCGATGGCTGGGATTGCTGAAAGATGGGATGGGACCAAAAAAACAAATAAATATATAAAATTTTTCCGCCCGGCAACTCTATTGCATGCGGAAAATTTGCAAAATTAGCGGTGTTAAGCCTGTAAAAAATGGGGATGGAGATGAGATCGAAAAGGTGAGAAGGGATGAAAATTTGATTAGCCGGGGGTGGGTTGGGCTGGGAATTAGACGGTGAAGATGGGGGTGGTATGAAAGTAAATAAAGCAAAAATGGGCACTGTATACTCCTTACAAGCTATCACAGCTGTGCAATGTGCATACTGCGAAGTGTGTGATACTTAGTGCGAAGCAATCCAGTCAAAATACGTGCAGCAAAAAAAACCTGCCGTATTCTTACGGTGCAGTTCTTTTGGATGTTGAATAACACACGTAACCACAGGCAGCTCAAACCGGCAATAATTTTCTGCTGTTAGTTGGTTAATGCCGTTAAAAAGCTAGAAGAATTAACAGCAAACATCTCAAGCGCACATTAAAGTCGAGCTTCTACTCTTTTGCAAACAAAAACCTCGTTAATAGCAAAACATAACGCTGTAATGCGGAAAGTAAAATCGCTGAACAAGCAGACAAATGCAGCATATGAAAGCAAAAAAATGCAAATTTATTTAACGGTTACTACCGCATAGAAGTAAAAATGTCCCTAACAGTGGCTAATTCGATTATAAAAAATGGCTGCTTATAATGCGCCTTTTCGAAAACAGAATATCACTGAAATTTCACGCCTGTTCACAAGACTGGCACTTGTAAACCTTTTCCTTAGCGGTAGTTAACCTTCCATTGATTCCCCCGCACTTCAGGTGATACAGTTTTTTGCACACTGTACAGGCGACTCCAACATCCTGCAGTTTGAACGATTTTCCGCACTTAGCGCACTACATCAGTGAATCGTTTACGCAATAGCTTTTATAAATGCACATGATTGTGGCTGCACTACTCATCACCGCGCGATCGTCGTTTAAAACCTCTTGAACCTTAGGCTTTTTTGCTCGTGTAACCGGCGCACATCCTACAAACATTCCTTAGACAATGAAAATCCCGTTCACCAAAATCTGAACTTCGAGTTTTTTTAGTTTTCGGTTTCATACCTCCAAAATTGTTAATCCATATAGTAGCACATACCTGCGAAAGCAGCTATCGCTTTTATAAAAGTTCCTTTTTCAGCTGGTTTTACCTTCTTCGAAACGGTCATTGTCCAACACAGTTTCAGCTTCCTGGACATGCGCTGGTCCGCTACTTTGAGGATTTACTGGCGAAGGCAAACGTTCTGAAGCAGGAACTCGTTCGGATGTTGAAGGGAACATTTCTGTTTCTTGTTCAATAGATGGGGCCGCGGTTGATGCTTCATCCATCGAGGCAGTAGCCTCAATTGTGTGGAATGCCAGAACACGTGGAACGACGTCGTTCTGCTTCGTTTGCTCAGCGGTTTTTGGTTCCTCTAAAGTCTTGTCAGCAACATTAATTGTCCGATCTGCGACATTGGTGGTGCCGGCCGAGATGCCTGAGAAAACATCCGTTTTCTACTGAGTACTTACGCTCAAAAATAATTTAATTCTGCATATTGATAAAGACGAAAAAAACGAAACTGTTAATAAGCTAAGACGTTAGCTAACTTCATGATCAAGCAAAGGTCACGATAATTGGGTGGTGTCGAATCAGCTTAATTATTATGGTACAAAAATTTCCGCATTAAATATTTGTACATTTGGAATCTCGTTGCTGGTTGCGTTTTCTTACCAAACTGCCCTAATAGTTCCAGAACCCTCTTTGAAATGTGGTGAACAGGGACAGCGGAAGCTTTCAACGAGCGTCCGGACAGACGAACATCACGAGAATTTTTTGCGTTGGGAATAAGGCGCAGTGCGCTGGAAAAGTTGGCCAGGAAGCGCACATCCATGCCCTTGGCTCTTAAATCAGCCTCAAAGGCATCCTGCTTGAAATGCAGGAAGGTTACCGTTTCTCCGTTTTTTGCTCTTTCGCTGGTAATTCTGACGTTGCCTTTCACCTACCAACCCGAAAGGATGACGTACATTTGTGACAAAGCAGATATTGTGGAAACTCACATATTAAGGTAATGAAATAATCCCATATTAAAGTAATGAAATATCAAGGCCACTATTATGGTAGAGTTTAGTCCCAATATTATTTTTTACAATATAATAGTCGACTACCGTGTTGGGTTCGGCTTTCTCCACTGCTTGTTCAATGATCAAGCTGAGATCGTTAGGAGCTGGTACTGGAAAGACACAGTACGAAGAATCGTAGACGGCAATTTCAGTAATATTTTTTCTGTAATATTCGCTATGGATGCTATTTAAAGACCAATATGAACTACATAAAGAGACAAAAATGTCAGTACCGACTCAGTAAATCACGGCACGTGATAAAATTATGTCAGAAAACCGGTAGAAAACTATGTTGTGATAATGTGATTGAATAAAAACGTGGGAAACTACAGCGTCATATGAAGTCCTCTTATGATCAAAATTCGAAAGACGTGAAAAAAATCAAAACTGTTGACAGATAAACGTAAAAAAAAGTTGACGTTTAAAATTCCGTGCATGCAGCTAGCTCCCACCTAGACACCCGTGTCCATGCTTCGTGCACACAGCCAATCCCGTGCAGATATCGTGCGAGCAGCCAACACCCGTGTTTTCCCGTACACGAGCAGCCAACATTCATACGCTTTAATACCAGTCCAGTACCAGCGGCGATGCAACTATAATTATTATGCAAACCGCGCAGCAATTCCCGTCGGAAGGAGATCTCAAACGTTTCGAAAGGCTTTTAGGAAAACGCATTTCGGGTAGCCGACAGAACGCTGCTAACGGAGTTATCGTTTTTTTTTCGGAACACCATCATCAAGGAAACCTCCTAAAAACCGTGCCCTGGAAGCATTTTTTAAAGTCTCTGAAAACGGTAGAGCTTGGTTAACTTTGATAGCTGCTAATATGAAAGTGAAAAACTAGAAACGAAGCGATACATGTAAATATTTCCTGTTTTATGTCACACAAGTGTCCAAACTGACGTGGCCATGCTGCACATTTACATTACATGTTGCTCGTGCTGTCTGTATATCAATCTAAGTGACATAGTTTACAGACACATTGAGGTGATTATGCCAAAAACGGTGTTCGTCTGCCGGTAACGTCGCCCTTTCCACAAGGGGGCGGGTGCAGGGGCAGTTCTCAAGGTGACTTATAATCCTGTTACTGCACGATCTTACGGAGCATATTATGGAAAAGGACCTAGCAACAATGGGCTTAATAAAGGTCGTAAGAGCTATGCATACGGGTGGGTATGGAATTTTAAGTCCAACAACGCTATTTAACACTATTTTCAAGTCCAGTGTATTTACTACACCCAACAAACTAGTAATCGCTCCAATAAGAAAGCATAAAAAATGAAAAAAACCATCGGCATTCAGTCAGGAAAAGTCAAAAGAAAAAAGCCTATACACACAAATTCTTTCTAGCGATTGATTTAAAAAAATGTTCGACACAGACGTACCCTGTTTTGCGTGATCTAAAGTGAACCCTTACCATTGTAAAGCTGTTCAAAGCTCGGGACTGCTAAACGAGCAAAAGTTATGCAAAAAATCCTAGAGCCGTTGTTCGGTCTTGCAGCAATCTTATACTTGTGCGCATTTGCATGCATCAATTTAATTTGAACATACCATACATTTTCGTTCGGAAAAATTTATGAACAATTATAACATAATTTTGAGTCTTAAAGAAAGCGGAATCGTAAACACGCTAAAGATAATCGAGGTTTTATTATTCTGGCAGTACTAAAGGAACCTCCTTCCCACCTGCTGTCTAATGGCAAACTTTGGTATCCAGTTAAAGACAACTGCTAAACACTGTCGCGGTGCAGTCGCGGTTATATACCGTGTCGCGGCGTCGCGGCAATACACCCTGACCGCAGCAGAAGTACTGTCGCGGTTATATACCGTGTCGCGGCTGTCGCGGCGTCGCGGCAATACACCCTGACCGTAGCAGAAGTACTGTCGCGGTGCTGTCGCGGTTATATACCGTGTCGCGGCTGTCGCGGCGTCGCGGCAATACACCCTGACCGCAGCAGAAGTACTGTCGCAGTGCTGTCGCGGTTATATAGCGTGTCGCAGCAATACACCCTGACCGCAGCAGAAGTACTGTCGCGGTGCTGTCGCAGTTATATACCGTGTCGCGGCTGTCGCGGCGTCGCGGCAATGCACCCTGACCGCAGCAGAAGTACTGTCGCGGTGCTCTCGCGGTTATATACCGTGTCGCGGCTGTCGCGGCGTCGCGGCAATACACCCTGACCGCAGCAGAACTGCTGTCGCGGTGCTGTCGCGGTTATATACCGTGTCGCGGCTGTCGCGGCGTCGCGGCAATACAGCCTGGCCGCAGCAAAAGCACTGTCGCGGTGCTGTCGCGGTTTCATACCGTGTCGCTGCTGTCGCGGCGTCGCTGCAATACAGCCTGGCCGCAGCACAAGCACTGTCGCGGTGCTGTCGCGGTTATATACCGTGTCGCGGCTGTCGCGGCGTCGCGGCAATACACCCTGACCGCAGCAGAAGTACTGTCGCGGTGCTGTCGCGGTTATATACCGTATCGCGGCTGTCGCGGCGTCGCGGCAATACACCCTGACCGCAGCAGAACTGCTGTCGCGGTGCTGTCGCGGTTATATACCGTGTCGCGGCTGTCGCGGCGTCGCGGCAATACACCCTGACCGCAGCAGAAGTACTGTCGCGGTGCTGTCGCGGTTATATACCGTGTCGCGGCTGTCGCGGCGTCGCGGCAATACACCCTGACCGCAGCAGAACTGCTGTCGCGGTGCTGTCGCGGTTATATACCGTGTCGCGGCTGTCGCGGCGTCGCGGCAATACAGCCTGGCCGCAGCACAAGCACTGTTGCGTTGCTGTCGCGGTTTCATACCGTGTCGCGGCTGTCGCGGCGTCGCGGCAATACAGCCTGGCCGCAGAACAAGCGCTCTCGCGGTGCTGTCGCGGTTTCATACCGTGTCGCGGCTGTCGCGGCGTCGCTGCAATACAGCCTGGCCGCAGCACAAGCACTGTCGCGGTTTCATACCGTGTCGCGGCAATACACCCTGACCGCAGCAGAAGTACTGTCGCGGTGCTGTCGCGGTTATATACCGTGTCGCGGCTGTCGCGGCGTCGCGGTAATACACCCTGACCGCAGCAGAACTGCTGTCGCGGTGCTGTCGCGGTTATATACCGTGTCGCGGCTGTCGCGGCGTCGCGGCAATACACCCTGACCGCAGCAGAAGTACTGTCGCGGCTATATACCGTGTCGCGGCTGTCGCGGCGTCGCGGCAATGCAGCCTGGCCGCAGCACAAGCACTGTCGCGGTGCTGTCGCGGTTTCATACCGTGTCGCGGCTGTCGCGGCGTCGCGGCAATACAGCCTGGCCGCAGAACAAGCGCTATCGCGGTGCTGTCGCGGTTTCATACCGTGTCGCTGCTGTCGCGGCATCGCGGCTGTCGCGGCGTCTATTGCGGCGATACGGTATGGAAAGAAAAAGAGGGGAAAATACTGTATCTGAAGGAAGTTTGCCGGACACGTACGACGGATTTTTATGCATGAAGCATAAGCTCTCGGTTTGAGTGTTGCTAGCAGAGGTTGGATGAGCGAACAACGAGCTTCGTCGGGATGTTTGGCTTCCATGCTCGCGAATTATCAGTTGACGTCTTATATCTGGAACGGTGTCAGTGAGAGGCTGTTCGACCAAAAACAGTGCGGCCGCGATGAGTTACAGTTACATAGGCGCTTTTAGGCCAGTGCTGCGGGGTGATGTTGTTGTAAAGAGGCATGAATCGGCTGTGGAAAATGTCGGCACAATGAAGGACAAGAAACGATTGCGAGCTGTTCGTGCCAAAATACGCCGGGGGTTGGCTATGCGTTCTTCTCGCGAAAGTGTTTGGAAAGTTCTTGATCGACCCGATTTCCTGCATTTCTGTTAGAGTGTGGCTTGGTGCGAAAGATGGTGAGGGCCAAAGGTTCAGATAAAAGTCAAAGATTCGCACTGATTACACAGCTTCAGCCGACTACGGGGATAAGCGGTCTAATCACAGGGGAGCATCTCGCCTAAAGTAGCCGATGCTGGTGTTCCTATGACAGAGGCCGCGTTCCTGCGTTGGATTTCAATGCTGATTCGCTGGTGCGTATACTGCGTCGCACGTACCTCGCCTGTTTTCTGTCGTATCGTCTTCCCGACTTCTGTGCGCGCCGTGTCCTTGCTTGTTTCGATGTTGCCGTGATGGGTGACAAATTATGTGTACTGCCTTTATAACTCTCTAAATACGTATACTTCGAAGAATGCTGCCTTATATGGGCTCCCCTTATATTACTCTCCCTTATCTGGGCTCCCGAGCAATATGAGCAACCCTCTACATGGGCGGTTACGTTATTACTCACACTTTTGCAGCTGTTATCAGTGTTATGCCTGACTGAAAATTTTATTTATTCAAAATACTTATTTGCCAGTACTTTTGTAGCATTTAGTTTGTTTCAAAGTGCTCAGGTTGCATCAACGACAGATTCAAAATCTTTCTAAAATTCAAAATCTTTCAAAATCTTTCTAAATTCAAAATCTTTCTAAACGTCGCCCGCTTAAATGCTAAGAACCCCTAAGAAAAAATAATATGATATGAAATTTCGGCATTTTTCAGTTTGTTCATTGGCAAATCCGGTTGAAATTAATGGAAAATACTATACAATGTATAAAAGAGTTGAACCGATCAGTCGGTCGCGGTTCAAAATAACCTCGCAACGACGCCACCACTAAAACTTGACGCTTACTCACTACTTTCAGACGCTCGCGCTCCGTGAATATCAAAGTGCAGCTATACATGTTGCATATCAAAGGTGTAGAAAAATTTTAAACTTTTGATACTAAACCTGTGGCTGTTTATGGCGAACAGCACAAATTCTAGCCATTTTGCTTTCTCGTAGGCACAGCATAGGATCTGTGCGCATAACCGTTTGGCTTGCAATCAATGCTTACGTCTATGGGAAAGAAAATGGCTAGAATTTGTGCTGTTCGCCATAAACAGCCACAGGTTTAGTATCAAAAGTTTAAAATTTTTTCACACCTTTGATATGCAACATGTATAGCTGCACTTCGATATTCACGGAGCGTGAGCGTCTGAAAGTAGTGAGTAAGTCCAAGTGAGTGGTGTCGTTGCTATTTTGAATCGCGGACCGACTGATCGGTTCAACCTCTTTGTCGTACATTGTATGTAGATAACATATATAAATATAATTTGATGTGAAATTTCGGAATGCTCTTTGTGACTGTACTTGTATCTGATACACTAGTCGAAACTCTCGGACCCGGCCATCGCTCTAATTAAAGAAAAGAAACGACTCCAGAAAAGTGGACTGCGTATCTGTTGATACTTGCCTTCGAAAATGAGCGGCAGCATTAAATGAGATTCTGTTGCTGTGAATTCGTGACTAACTATTTTCGATATGTAATGTACCCGTATTTATGAAATAAAACAGAAAAGGGTTCTGCTATAAATCCGACAAATTTAATTTGACGGGTATTGCTAACTAGCCGGGAGCCCAGATAAGGGAGAGTAATATAATGGGAGCCCATATAAGGCAGCATTCGAAGTATCTATTTGCCCGAAATGTCGGGCGCGTGAAATGTTTATTTCTTTGGGTAAACACCGGTATTCCTTTATTTTGTTTAGCAATGGTTTAACGTGCC